TGCTGCTGTGTAGTCAGACAAGGCCCGGTACTGATTCTGCATGTACATACAGACAGAGGCAGACCAGGTACCACAGTTAAACATACATGCAGAAACAGATACTGTTTTGATACATCCATGCTTACCTGGGCTGTTTTTTTCATCATTCACTGACCTACGACAGCACTACTTCAGTACTCTATTACTGAGCTTTTGTGGCTCCGTGTCCACCTGGCCATCCCTCCATCTGTGGCGCTTCACCTCCACCCGGACATTGCATTCAAGCATTGCCACAAATACGTCCACCGAGGGTCCCGGAGGAAATTCAGCCACGACGACACTAACCCGATAAAGTCCATCTGGTCTTCAACTCATCATTATCCTCGCAATACCAACCGGAATGTTAACCACAATGTGTTAGCCCGCTTGTCCAGGTCGGCTAATCCTACAGTCAAGCAGGCTAACTCCAGCGTCAACTTCGGATTATTAAACATCCGCTCTCTGACTGGTAAGAGGCATCTCGTCCAGGATCTCCTCTCTGAGCGTAAATTGGATTTTCTATGTTTGACTGAAACGTGGCAACAGCATAATGATTTTGTTTCCCTAAACGACTCCATTCCACCTGAGTTTGTTTATGTTTGCCAACCTCGGGGCGGGCGGGGGTCTTCTAATTCCCCCCTGCTCCCCGTTTGTGTTTCAGATTTAACTGTATTTGACTCTCCCTGCCGGCCCCTGGAGGATGGGCTCCCCCTTTGAGTCTGGTCCCTCCCAAGGTTTCTTCCTTCTAGGGAGTTTTTCCTTGCCACTGTCACCTATGGCTTACTCACTGGGCTTTGGGTGGGGATGCTGTAAAGCGCTTTGGGACAATGTAATGTTGTGATAATGCGCTATACAAAAATAAATTTGTTGTTGTTGTTGTTCTAATGATTCATCGGAAGCAGTGGAAAGTTCTCCCTGTCTCCGCCCCACTCTTCCGTTCGTTTGAATACACTGCATCACAGCTCGCGGGATCCACTCCCACTATTATATGCACTGTTTATCGACCACCTAAGCCAAATAAGGATTTTCTAAATGACTTTACTGCTCTTCTTACTCATTTTTCAGTACGCTCTCCCAATATTATAATCCTTGGTGATTTTAACATTCATATGGACAATGACAATAACCTCCTCTCCAGAGATTTTACAGCTTGTCTGGATAGCTTTGGACTTCAGCAACATATTAACTTCCCTACTCACCGCAAAGGCCATATCCTAGACCTGGTTTTCTGTTCTGGTGTCACCCCCTCTGACTGCAAAGCCAATCTGTTCCCGCTCTCCGATCATCTGCTTATTACCTTCAATATAAATCTAACACTTTCCAAGATTTCTACTCCATGTAATATTGCATTTAGGAAAATCAGTAATATTAATCCTGGCATCTTTTCATCTGCTGTAAATGACCTCCCGTGTAGCCAAGCACGGATTAGCGCATAGGCTTTATAGGCTGCAGCCTAGGGCCCCCACGTGTAGCAGGACATAAAACACTAAGCAGCTGATTGGGTAGATATGGCAAAGTTAATAAGGTCAATTGGTGTTCAAGTGATGCGTCATTCACCGTAATGTACTACAGCATAGTAACGTTAGAAAATGGCGGAAAGAAAATACGATAGTAGCACAACGACTGAGAGAACACCGTGACCAAAAACTCCCAAAATAGATTCCTAAATTGACAGGATATTTCAAGGTTGCCGAATCTTTGAGTAATAATAAAGAAATACAGCACTGTCATGAATTGTTAGCATCTAATAATGTATCGATTGATGGCACTACCTACTAGGGGTGTAACAATACATCGATTTGTATTGATGTATCGATTCAACGGCAAATGATCCGATGCATCGACATGACTGCATAAATATTGATACATGCGTTTTTTTTTTCCTCGCTGGTTCCAGTATTGTTTTCATGATCCACTCCAATGTATACATGGTCTACACCAGGGGTGCCCAATACGTCAATCGCAATCCACTGGTCGATCGCAAAGGCAGTGTGGGTAGATCGTATGGCATAAAATGGATGGATGATGCGTTCAACTGCGTCACCTGCTGCAAGCTACCGAGTCGCCTAGTTAGCCTCCAATTTATTTCTACTAAACTTAAGAAAGGGTATAAAAATGAATGGGGGAGCTGGACCAAGTAAGAAGCCAAAAACCGACCACTTCCATACGGAATGGGAGGAGGACTGTTTTATTTCACCATGTCATATTCGAAGTGTGTTTGCCTCATCTGTCAGTCTACCGTTGCTATTCCGAAGAAGGGAAATGTGGAGCGGCATTTTCGGACTGTTCATAAAAACTACGACATTAACTTCCCCCTGAAAAGCGAGCTGAGAAATAGAAAGGTGAAGGAACTAAAATCCCAGTTCAATTCAAAAATACTTTATTCATCCCAAAGGGAAATTAATAATAATAATAGTAGTAATAATAATAATAATAATAATAATAATAATAATAGTAAAGAATACTCAATATTTTTATACATAAATATATGTTTTTCATTTTTATAGTAGGTAGATCATTTTGACTTGGTGATTTGTAAGTAGCTCGCAAGCTAGCGTACCTTCAGAGTGTGTGTTTAGTACGGCAGGTGACATAGGACGCTATGCTCAGAGCACACAATCTCCTGAACACGTTGACCATTTAATTTCTCTTAAAAAAAACTTCTCTAAGAAGATTACTGACATACTTGTTCCACCGCAGAAGTCAGTCATGTTAATCTTCCTCATTCTACATGTCTGTCGATGCAATGTTTTTTTCTTTTTACCTTATTGCACTTTATTTTGCTTGTTTTATGGGATACTTGAACGCACTAGATTTTGTTTACAGTTCCCAATAAAATATGATAAAATGCTAATTATATTTACCTTTTTTAATTCATTGAAATGTAAAGGATTGTGTGAAATTTCATCATTTCGACTACTAACCCCAGTATCGAACTGAATCGAATTGTATCGTATCGTATTGTGGGAATTTCTGAGGTATCAAAAAAAAAATCGAACCATTGGCTTAAGGAATCTATATTGTATCGTATCGCGAGGAAAGCTGTGATTTATACCCCTATTACCTACAGCAATAATGTTCATGCATCACATTCAGCTCACTCTGAGAAAGTGCATGACATTGAAGAATCCAGACTTAATACTTCATACAGTTCCACCGCCAGCATATCGATAGTTAGCAATGACGATGTCTCAGTTCCAGCGATCACCACAGTCTCACCTGTTGCTGCTGAGAGGGCACAAGAGGCTGCAAACTCCGCCAATGCTAACGATAGCATTACCTAACAGGTTAGCTTGGATTTTAGCAGAGCAAGGACTCGTTCAGTGGGAATTTGATGTTCAGTTGTTGCTCTGAAAGGATGCGGTGATTTTGCCTCAGTGAAACTGGTAGAACATAAGTAAAGGGGGGCCCCGCAAAAAGGTAGCCTAGGGGCCCATGACCACCTTAATCCACCTCTGCTTGTACCCATAGCATATCTACCCCTGATGAACTGGTCTCTTACTACAATGCCAACCTCCATAACCTACTTAATACATTTGCTCCAGTTAAACATCGATCAGTCTCATTCTCCCGCTCAGCACCATGGTTCACTCCCACCTTGCGTCATCTCAAAGCTAAAGGACGCCAACTGGAACGCCTCTTCAAGAATGCTGTACTCACCATCCACAAAAAAAATGTACAATAATCATCTTCTGTTTTATAAGATCTGCCTCAGCCAAATCCACATACTACTCTGGTTTAATCTGCTCTAGTAAAAGTATCCCTAAGTCTCTCTTTTCTCTGTTTAATAATATTACTAAGCCTCCAGACTATTTTCCCTCCCATATGTATTCTGCTGATTTTTGTCACTCCTTTTCACATCGAAAATTTCATTTCTGATATCCACCAGCAACTTAATTCTAATGGAGCTGTAGCTCCTGAAGCAGACTCCCTGCTCTCTTTTCTGTCTCCCTGTCAGTCATTTGCAAGCTTCTCTCTCCCTTCCATAAATGACATATCTGGAATTATTCAAAAACCTAAATCGTCCACCTGTTAGCTCGACCCTCTACCCACTACTCTAGTTAAAACTTGTCTCCCCTCCCTGGCCCCCCTCATTACCACCATTATCCACTCTTCCCTTAACACTGGAATTGTCCCTCCATCACTCAAAACTGCTTCTGTTACTCCAATTCTCAAAAAACCAGGTGCAGATTCCTATATCTTCGATAACCTTCGTCCTATATCAAACCTCCCTTTTATTAAAAAAATTCTTGAGAAAGTAGCTGCCTCCCAGCTTCACACACACCTCAGTAACCATAACCTCTATGAACAATTCCAGTCTGGTTTTCACCCCCTCCATAGTACAGAAACAGCATTATTAACCCTCTGGGGTCTAGGGGTAGGGAACACACTTTCACTGACTGGGGCATGATCACACATTCAATATCATAAACTTAATTCATGGCAAATAAATTATTTCTTATATATTTGTTTTGGCATTACACTCATCTTAATTTTAATGTACTTTGTAATCAGTCAGATGTATGTTAAGTTTTTAATTTGACATCAAAGTACAGATATTGCAAAATGCAGTTTGGAACACTCTCAGAAACATTATGAAAGCACATAGTAAGCAATGCTACCAGTTTGTTTTGATCCCAAATATCTGATCACCAAAGTCATGGGTACATGAAGATGACTAAATGGTGTAGTTGCAACATTCAGTTGGATAAATAAATAAGAAAAACCGAACTCATGTCACTATTTCTGGCTCCTTTCATTGAATATGTAGCAACTTTCATGTGTATGAATGAGCCATTGTCACCTGGCCACGTCCCCAACCCCCTTTTATGGCGCTGAAGGGGATGTATCTGGATCGCGTTGCATTGTTCATCTAATTACCATCTAATTTGAATATGTGCTAATGCGCTATTTACAATGCAAATAGCGATCTTCAGGTGACAACGGTACTACACGCCCCCCCCATGCAGGTAAAACAAAGTAAGGTGACATAGTTGACTTTTTTGCCGATTTAACCTAATTTTAAAACCTTTAATACTTCTGACCATAGACATTTTGAAAAGAAGACAGATTATGGATTTAGTCAGCGTTTTTCATGTTTCTACAATAATATTTCAGCGAGTTATGAACTGAAATACACGAGAAAGATACGTGGCATCGCCGACAATGCCGTCAACCCCAGAGGGTTAAAAATCACCAATGATCTCCTGATGGCAGCTGATTCTGGCCTTCTCACCATTCTCATCCTCCTGGATCTGAGCGCAGCCTTTGACACTATTTCTCACAATACTCTTCTGAATAGATTATCATCCATTGGCATCAGTCATACTCCACTTGCTTGGTTCACCTCATATCTCTCTGGCTGCACTCAGTTTATCCAACTGAAATCTCATTCCTCACGTTCATTTCCCATTTCAGCCGGTGTTCCCCAGGGTTCAGTTTTGGGGCCCCTTTTATTCTTTATTTACATGCTTCCTCACTCCCCACACTGCTGCCATCCTTGTTCATAGCCTCCTCACTTCTAGGATTGATTATTGTAACTCTCTTCTCTTTGGTCTCCCTAACAAGTCCCTCCATAAACTCCAACTCCTTCAGAATGCTCTAGCTCGAGTAGTAACTCGTATCCCCTCCACGGAACATATCACCCCAGTTCTACAACAGCTTCACTGGTTGTCCATAGAAACTAGAAGAGCGAAGAGCATTCAAAATTCTGCTTCTCACTTTCAAATGCATTTACAATCATTTACAATTAATCGAAAATGTACCTTAAAAATTGAGGCCTGGATACTTTGGGCTGTATCAGTAATTCAAATATCATCAAAATCCACCAAGAAGTTCTATGGGCTGCTTTAGACTTCCACGGCACAAAGTATAATAATACTGAAAATTTCTAATGGTTACAATAGATGCCTAACACCCTCAGTGCCTTGCCCCTATAATTAAAAGCTTATAAATTAAGGAACCATGTTCCTGTGTGCTGGAGTTATAATAAGGGCTCTTCCTCTACCTCAGACTCCATACTTACAGGGAAGGAGGAAGAGCACAAGGGCCACAGATTTGCTACAGACACAATTATATATAGTAATCTGAGGGAAGATGGTCAGACTGATGTAGAGAAACAGGCCCCAGGACAGCAGCCAGAGGGGCAGATGTATCTTGGGCACCTACCTGGTCTGGCTCAGGATCTTGGTGTCTTTCAACCAAACCCATCTCTTCGTGTATTCTACGGAAAAGATAAAAGTTATTGCAAGAGAGCCTTGTCAGAACATCATGTTTTACATAAATCAGTCATCATGTGTTTCTTACTGATGCTAATTGTCATCTTAAAATATAGGTAATTCCTTCATAAATAAGTAACAAAATTTCAGCTAATGGTACGGTTCCCATACAAGAGCTGGATTATGGAGATGAACCCTAATGAAGTGACTGAGAAATTGGGCATCTTTGGGAGGGGGGGGGGTGGTGGTTAAAACAACAAGCTACTTAAATTAAAAAGGTGTGTTTTTAATGAGATGGCATGCTGGGATCTGACACTCTCCTCCACCCCTCCTCCCTGCTCCCATCGATCTCCTGTCCACTCTTACATGGCCTCCACGAAGTTGGCAGGCAGCATGCCCCACTCGTCTGTGCGCTCCACATGTCCATGCATCCAGCCGTTGTTCATCTGCTGCACATCCAGAATCAGATCGCCGTGCTGGAAAGACACCTCACCATCTTCTGCTGCTGTGTAGTCAGACAAGGCCCGGTACTGATTCTGCATGTACATACAGACAGAGCCAGACCAGGAAACACAGTTTAAAATACATGCAGAAACAGATACTGTTTTGATACATCAAAGTGCTGATGAGATATGACCTCACTTCCTGTTTGGTAGCTTGCCATCGAAATTCATTGCATGGCAGCGGCCAAATCATTTGCTCTATTCTTTGAAGAACTTTTAGTCACAGCCCTCTGGAGATATTACTTTGTTATTTACCAAAATAGGTGGTGATACAATCAACGCTCTAGGACTAGTTTGCAAAAGTAGGTTATTTGAAAAATTCAAAATGGAGGAAAACTCAATTCGAATCAAGAATTAAGGATTCAGGGGAAAAAAACCCTGAAGATCACAATCCTAGGACAAACTGTTCATAAGTTATAATTGAAAATGTACCTTAAAATTTGAGGCCTGGATACTTTGGGCTGTCCTCTATCAATAATTCAAATATCATCAAAATCCACCAAGAAGTTCTATGGGCTGCTTTAGACTTCCACGGCACAAAGTATAATAATACTGAAAATTTCTAATGGTTACAATAGATGCCTAACACCCTCAGTGCCTTGCCCCTATAATTAAAAGCTTCAGCACCACTTTGGGCTCACTTTCCACTTCACACCAGCCTTTTGGGAGCATGGAACCCATTTGTGAGACATAGGTGAAGGAGAAGAAGAGCTGTGGTGTTCTCCAAAGGTGAGGTCTCACCTGGGGGGAGGGCATGTTCAGGGGAGGCATGGGAAGCAGGTTAACTCTGCCTGCTGCCCCTTACCCTCGTTCACCCCCCAGTGTGGAGCTCCCCCCATATCAGCTCGGTCGTGCTGCCGCTGAAAAACCTCAGCTGGGAACCTCAGGTTGAGCTGACAGCACATGTGTGTATGTGTGTGTGTGTGGGGGGGGGGGGGGTGCTGTAGGAAAAGGCTTTGCAGCTGGCCATGTGCCTCACAGATGACTCAGTCCTGGAGGGCAAACGCAGCCATACTGCACTATTGAGGGCCGGTTTTGGCAGTGCGTTCAACCGGACCTCCTGAAACGTGACCTGGGGGGTCATTACAGATGGCCAGGTGAGCATGGACAAGTCCAACCCTGGGCCCCCCCCAGGAACCGATGACACCCCCCGGTGGTGGTAGGTCACACCTGTGCTTGGGATTTTGCCATGTGACAAAAGTAGAGAGAGACACGGTGAAGGGTGTCTCCTGTTGCATCCTGGTGGACACCGGGGCCACCATGTCACTGGTGAGGCCTGATGTGGTGCCACCTGGTCTGCAATCTGCCATCACCCTGCCCCTGTGTTCATCCTCCCCGCCACGCCCTGCGATCAGGCAGTTAGCGAGGCCGGAAGAGAGACTGACAGCCTTCAACATCTCTCACAACCGCTTGTGAAGCCCACCTGTGCAGCACCCCCAGCTCCACCCCCACCACCCAGAAGCAGCTCCAGAGCTCCCTGGGCCTGGCCTCCTATTACAGGAGGTTCCTGGGGGGTTTTCCCTGTACGGCCGCCCCTCTGTTCCAGCTGCTGTACAGGGACAGGGACTTTGTCTGGTTACTGCAGTGCCTTCTGTAGCTCTGCATAAGGTTCCTATGCTGCCCCCACTGACCCATCCTATCCAGTGGGACAGCGGCTGGGGTGCTTTCTCAAGGGGGGTGGGGGGGTGGCAATGGAGAGGGTGGGTAGTGACCTACTCAATAGGCAGAGTGGAACTACTACTGTCACCTGTAGGGAGCTGCTTTCCATCGGGCACTGGACGCCCTGCCTCTGTGGCCTGTCCTTCAATGTCAGGACAGACTCATGTCCTTCATGGAGCCAGAGGGCCAGGTTACCAGGTGGTTGGATGAGTTCCAAGTAAATGACTTTACAGTCACGCACAGAGCCAGCACCTGACACTCCAGCATGGATGGCCTTTGGTACCACCCGGGAAGCTAACATCCGGGAGTCATAGTCACTGTTTTGAATGTAGAAAAAAAATGGGCAGAGATAAAGGGGTAGAGTGACTCTGATATGGGCCAAATCATTATGGCTGGATGACTGGGTCAGAGCATCTCCAAACCACAGGGCTTGTGTGGTGCTCACAGTCAGCCGTGGTGAGTAACCTACCGACAGCACATGGCACAGTCACAAGTCATGGGTGGATCCTGGCAAGGGCAAGGTGGGCAGTTACCACATTCATGCATGGATAACGTAAGAAACAAGATGCTGTCAGAACAACAATGTATTCCTTGGGTGGCCCATCACACATCATCAATGACTAAAATTTCTAGCCCCCCGACACACTCTCCTAACCTCTTCAAAAAAGCTTTTTATAAAGCCCAACATTGTATGACTTGTCTTAATGTAATCAGGTTCACCAGATCTGTGTCTGTCCTTTCATGTGCCATATTGCATACATTTTGGTGCGATTTGTATCAAAATTAAATAGGCTTCAGAATGTCACCTATACAATGTTTCTGGGAAGTCTGAAAAAGATCTATCGACTACTTTTACAGTTATACTGTTCGAGTGTCTTCTGCAGTCACCATTCCCTTTGTTACTGCTAAGCAGTGTTGCTTCATTTCTCGCGCAATTTTTCATAAATTTTGATCAGTTATAGATTTGAGTTGAAAGTCCATCAAAAACTTTTTGAGTTATCATGCTAGTGAAATAAATGTCTACAGTGGTGGTGGACCGGTCCCAAAACCATATGCATACCCCATCTGGGGAATACAATGAGCACATGTACACACTACATATCCAGTGTCTGTGATCTGAATTCATGAGACAGACTAACATGATTCAACTGTTTGGATCTTTAAATCAGAGCCCCAACATGCTGAGGAACAGAAGCCCACTGAGAATGTATGGCAAAATAACTCTTGCAGGAAACAGAGGAAACAGTATCACTTGGGTGTTTAGTGACCTAGGATTAAAGCATATATTGCTTTATACACACACATTCATGACATACATTCAATCGTCCATATCACTAGTGAACTGCATTTTGTCCACAAAATTACTTATTTTCATTCTCAAAATGGCATTTTGTAAATAAAATGAATTTATTTAGTTGATAAATAAAATGCATTTTGTGAATGAATTTACTTTATTCTGTCCATGAAATGCAAGGTGCTGAAATCAGTTCTGTGCACAAAATGAAACATTCCTTTAGATTTCTGTGCATGCAAGAAAGCGAAGTTTGTGTTTCTGTGGACAAAATGCAGTAAAGCGTTACTTGATTTCATAATTTAAAAATGCTTTTTGCGGCATAGAATGTATTTTGTGCACAAAAATTAGTGCTTGTCACACTAAGCTGACCCCCCACCTGCTTAGACAGGCCTGCAGGGCTGCTGTTCCCTCCTCCCTTAACAAAAGGCTGTCTAATAACTTTTACCTCCTTCTGAGCATTAACAGCCTTTCCTTAACAGCCTCTACTCAGAGGCAAAACACACCAAACCCTCATTGTGCCTCCATGTGTATCTGCCTTGACTCTGACTGACAGCACATCCTGATAGGATCTGCCACAGCCATACAAGTACATGAGGTATGTTTGACCTCGAGTTAAATGACGATAAACACAAACCCTAGATATAGATGTACAGGCCTGTCAAACTGTCAGCGATACATGAACCAAGGAAGAGAGCAGGCCAGCCTGGGCCCAGCTGACCACAGGGGGGGCTGACGGGGGAGGGGGGGGGGGACTTACGCTGCTTCTTCTTTGGCACTCATTCTCCCAGTCTGACAGGATCCGGCGGGAGGAAGCGCAGTGCTTCACTGCAGGGGCACAAATTGGGGTTCAGACTGTTAGGTGATACAAACAGACCAGACATTGAAGCGAAGGTGAATACGAGACCAAAGGTACATTAATCCTCCTCCAGCCTGAATCCATCCAGAGGTGAGGAAATGGAAGTGCGGTCCTGTACTCACCCTGGCAGGATGTGCCGGCCTGGCAGAGGGCCCTGTGCTTCAGGACCTTCCTCATGGTGAGGCAGTGGGGCCTGTAGCATGACCACTCCTCCCTGTTGGCCTGCTTGCGTTGCTGGCACCAGTCAGCATGCAGCAGGAGATCCAGCCACTCCTGCAGCTCGGGCTTCTCCAGGTCAGAGGGGCCCGATCGGGGGGGGGGGCAAATCAATGATCTCATCAGCAGGGGTCACTGTATGTTTGTTACAGTCACCAAAACAGCCTCCATGCTCTCTATGCTGTGCATTCTGGGCTTGGGCCTGTAAACCTCAGCTGTGTTTCTCCATCATAATCAGATCGGTTTCTGTGCGGCTGGAAAAGCTCGATATCTGAAGCGCCACTCAAAGCCCTTTCACTCGAGTCCCCATCTGAACGTGGTCTGGGGCCCCTGCTGGTTTGGGGGGGCAGCTCTCACCAGGTTTGCCACCTTGGCGGCACCCAGGAGGTCAGCTGGGAGGGGGGACAGTCTGTTAGAGAGGGGGGACTTGGACTGGAGCTGGGTGCCAACCCCTCCCACACCAATGACCCCTGTACCCCCAAACAGCTGTCCTGTGCCCTGTCCGTAGGGCAGCCAGAAGGGGGCACTGTTCCCTCCAAGGCCCATCTGATGGGGTGGTGATGCCTTTCTTTAGGGAGTCACCAAGACACTTTCCAGTGTAATAAAAATGGTTAAAAGAAAAACCTGATAACCTGCCCAACTGGCAGCAACTGTAGGGCTGAGCTGAGCAGATAATGTCCCAAAGTGACCCATCAGCACCACAGCTTGTGTTTAAGCCTACAGATGAGGGTGTGAAGGCAGGTCCAAGCCAGGACACACCGGCTGGCATCAGAAGCGAATGTGACATGAGCTCGTATGGATACAGTCACCAGGAACGGGGCAGATACAACATACCAGAACAGTCAGTGTGGCAGTGATCTCTGCAAAATGGATGCATCAGACACCACGGTGACATACACATGGGGGTTATAGAAATTCTGGGTCCACTACTAACTAAATTGCCAAAGGGGGGGACCCAAGCTACAGTGTAGCCAGTGTTGCAGCCTGAAGTGCCTCCTTAGAAATAACTATGCTGATTATTTTCAGCTGTTCACGTTCAGGCCCAGCAGCTGGCTATGTGCCTCACAGACGACGCTGCCCTGCCCTGGGGACAAACACAGCTATGATGCACTGAGGAGGGGGGACCCAAGTTGGGCAGTACGTTCAATCATGCGGGCCTCCTGAATAGTGGCCTGGGGGGGGGGGTCGCTGTAAATGACCGGGGCGAGACTCTTTTGGCATCTGCTTACGACACCGAGGACCTAGCACAGAGGGCCTAAGGGCACATGCCCCCCCCCACCATACAGAGTGAGCTGCCAAGGACCAGCTCATCAGGGTTCTCTCCCATAAGCAGCTGGTCCATGTTCAGCTGGAGCAGCCACACCCCCTGCAGGCAGCCTTGGGGCTGGTGGTGGAGAGTGAAACCATATGGGGAGAGTCAGCTGGCCCCCCAGAGGGGATGCCTGTGTGCAGCGACAGCTCAGAGCTGGGGAAGACTGTGTGGGCGACCGAAGCGGCTGAGCTGTTATGAGCCACATGGCTCCAGGCGAGACGCCCCCCACATTGGAGCCCCAGAGTCTGCTGGGGGTGTAGGCAGCCTTGCCACCTGCAGGGCCAAGCATGGGGAAATGGGGCAGGTCTGTGTAGAGGGTGCTGTACGCATGTACACTTATCCTGTCCCCATGTTCTGCAGGAGGGGCCCAGCATTAGGCTGTATTAGGCTATGCATTGCTGGGACTGGTGGGGGGTGACTGACCTGGACGTGAAGAGGGGTTGCTCAGTTTTGGCTTTGGGTTCGGGGCAGTGGATGCGTGTACCAGAGTGTAAATGCAGATTATACACGCTGGTCATTGTCATTTCTTTTGTTTGATAAACATTTCTCCGTGTTACATTATATGACCACCTTCCCTAACATGTTTAACAGCAGGGGACCATGAACATGGAGAATGTACTGACATGTTCCTGCGTGCTGGAGTCATAATAAGGGCTCTTCCTCTACCTCAGACTCCATACTTACAGGGAAGGAGGAAGAGCACAAGGGCCACAGATTTGCTACAGACACAATTATACAGTATATAGTAATCTGAGGGAAGATGGTCAGACTGATGTAGAGAAACAGGTCCCAGGACAGAAGCCAGAGGGGCAGATGTATCTTGGGCACCTACCTGGTCTGGCTCAGGATCTTTGATCTGGGTGAACGCTTCTTTTATTCTAAGGAAAAGATAATGTAGTTTAGAGCTGTCACCATTACTCTATTAAACTTGATTACTTGATTATTAAATAGCATTGATTAAAATTTCCTTCCCGAATGACTTGCCAATAGGCCGGATGGAAGGTGACAAATAGCAGATGGGGATACAAATAAAGAGCAAAAGCATCAGTTGTGTGGAAGCCCTTCCGGTTAAAAGTGAATGAAAATGCAGCGTCTGTCAGTATTGCAAAGCAGATCCTAAATATCACCATAGCACAAATGCAATGAGAATACATCTTAAAGGAATATTTAGGAGTTGAATGTTACCTATATAGACAAACAGAACTTATCTACCAAAAGAGTCTGTCAAATAAATTGGTGGTGTTGCCATGAGTTGTGCCAACAAACAAAAAGCAGAGCCGACAAATCTCTTCATTTTGCTCAACATCATCAATGGAATACAAAATATTTTAGTGTGGAATAAATTAATAATATAAACAAAGAGAATTTCATCAACACGATTTATTTTCACACCATTCTCAAAAAGAGAATACACAAATAAAGTAAATTTGTCATTCCAATGTATGATGCAATCGGCCCAGCTTAGGGGCCCCTCTGTCCTGTCCCTACACCTCTAATTATAAACAACTACTCAATAAATCATCAGGTTAATCGGTAGATTTCTCGATTATTGACATAACTGATAGTGACAGCCCTAATACAACTATTACAGCAGAGCTTTGTCATGTTTTATGTAAAAGCCAGTCATTATGTGTATGTTATTGATATAAAATATCACGTTATATAATTCCATCTATAAGAAGTAACAGGATTTCAAATAAGGGTATGGTCAGTGACGTAGGAGAGTTTGAGATTGGGGGTGAGGTAAAATTTAATTATTTAAATTCGAAGGTCTGGTTATTGGGGGGATGAATTAAATATTGTGGGTGCACTGGGTATAGCTCCCATACAAGAGCTTGATTATGGAGCTGACCTGCAATGAAGTGACTGAATGGTTTAATATTTAACACATGGTGATTTAATTGTCGTGATGGACTGGCATCCTGCCCAGGGTGTCCCCTGCCCTGTGCCCTGTGCTTCCTGTGACAGGTGCCAGGCTCACTGTGATGGATGGATGATTCTATTCTTAAAAACAACCAGTACATGTCATTCTGTATAAAAAGTCTACTCACATTACTTTTCTTGTCAAATCTGTAAATAAAAAAGGTAAACATTGATATAGGATAACTGTTTTGGAGCTGAAAATAGTAAGACTTCAATAGGGTTGATAATTAAATAATATCTAATAATGATTACCCCGCAAACAAAGGGGGACAGGGCATTTGTGGCCATTGCATCTTGATTATGGAACTTCCCAATTTCATCAAGGAATCTTCAATGACTGAACAGCTGAAAAGACTCACTTTTACTCTATAGTCTTTTGTGACCTTGGTGCTGCTCCCTCTTGACAACATGCACATGCTTTGGTTATGCTGCTGGTTTTTCTTTTTAATTGTGTTTTTCTTTTTAATTCTATTTCAATTTTTTTTCAATGTTTTTAATTTATGTTCTGTTTTTTGTATTACATAGACACATGATTTGCATCACTAAAGATGTTTATATAATCTCACTTCCTTTGTAATAGTCAGAGCTCCCCATTACAGCATCACTGCCCCCTACTGGCCAGGAGGCCATTATAGTCCTACACCACTGTAACAGCATCATAAAGGCAGACCAAAGAAGCTCAAAAGAATTAAAGCAGCAATGTTATGTAATGTTACGTCCTGAGCCATACAATGTGGTGAATAAGTAACATAATGTGTTTATAAATATTCATCTAGGTTAAATGCTGGACATGCAGATTAGAACAAAATGTCACAATAAGTATTTTTTATTGTTTTACAGCACAATATTGTTAAGGACAGTTAATCATTAATTACTGAGTGATCACTCAGTCTTCTGCACAGGGGCGTTGCTAGAGATTTTGGGCCCCATGAAAGCATATCATATTAGGCCCCCCAGTCCAAACCAATCCAGTTATTTTCCTAATTTTTTAGGGCCCCTGTCACTCAGGGGCCCTTGGAATCGTCCTAGCTTTCCTCCCCCTTACGGCGCCCCTGCTTCTGCATGATTAGTGTTTATACTGCATGACTGGGACATGGAAAGATGTAAACAATGATGGGAAAGCCATCAACATGCTGGAAAAGTCCCAGTTCACATATTCAGCCTTTATGGTAAGTTATGCATCATATTTGTGTTATACTTACAGTATGCAGACATCTGTATAACAAACCAGCCAAGGAGGAAGACAGACCCAGAAATCAGGACAATCAGTCGTAGATCCAGTGGCTGTTTTCCTGTGTCTGAAATGACATCATCACAACAATCACTGAAAACGGAGGTCAGTAAATGAGCAGTAAGTGACACCCGTGTCCAGGTCATCTGTAGCCAGGGTTTAAAAAATATTGAGGTCTGGGCAGGCCGGGGTGGGGGGTGGATGAATTGGATTGGTTGATTTAGGTTTAGTCCAAAAAACACATATTAACTTTACATGCATAAAAGAAAACTGATGCTATTTTCTGTTGTCAGTTCAGTGGGTTTACATACAAGCCTCCTACATCCTTATATCAAACACATTCTCCTGAAGCTGGGGGGGCTGGTTATATCATACACATACTGCTGAAGCCGAGAACGGTATACCTTCCATATCGAGCACAGCCGTTATCACCTTCTGTAGTATGTGTGTGTGGGTATTTTCTGTTTTTTGTGTGACTGGGGGTGAGGGGGGAGTAGCACTCAATGTTGATGGGGAGGCATGTAGGGGGAGACAAAAATGAGGACAAGGAGACTAAAAGGAGGGTAAAGGGGTTTAAAGGGAGACACTCAAAAAACAGTCTGGACAAGGGGCCGGAAAACAGGACTGCTCAAGGACAAATGAACTACAGGAATGCATATATGCTTAATTTAGCTGCATTGGTACGTATATACAGTAACACCAAAACTGCAGGAGAAACATCTCAAAGTTCTAGTGTATTTACCTGCTTTGAGTTTTAATGCTACAGCCAGGGCAACAGAATTCAGGAGAGGGAGACCAAAAGCCCCTGAGAAATATACATATTTACGGGGTTTGGCTGAAAGGTAGAGAGAGAAGCATTAGTCATACAGCTACATATATACATACAGATATATATATATATATATATATATATATATATATATATATATATATATATGTGTGTGTGTGTGTGTGTGTGTGTGTGTGTGTGTGCTAATTTTATTCTATTTTTAAATTTCATTTTCTAAATGCAATTGATTTATCAAATACAAAAAAATACATTGAATTTGATTTTACAAGAGCATTTCTGACAGATTTGAAAGTTTAAGCTTAAAAAAGTGTATAAAAAACAAACTGGTTTGTACCAAGGTTCTTATCCCGATTCCAGTCACCGTTGTTTGTGACAGTCAGGATGTAGATGAACACAAACTCACAGATCTTTACAGAACGTCCTGTTGTCAGGGTTACAGGGCAATGACATAGGTTATTAATGATGTGAATAATTTGGAGTTCCTCTTACATCAGTAAATACACATACAAGCATAAACAGAACAAAATTCATAACAAAGTCCCTCCATCATTTAAATCAGATGTGCTTTTCAGTATAACTTTAGCTGTGTGCTCCTTAATCATTAATAAACTGTTACTAATTATTTGGTAATAGATTAATGGATAGAAACAATGTTAGAAATGTACTGTAATCATATCTTGCTCCTGGTATTTATAAACCAGCTTCTAAATCACTTGCAAATATGAAACAATGAATTAGTAACCATACTCAGAAATAAGTTATAGTTGAACTTTTACAAGCTCTTCAGTAAATACTTTGGAGATATATAATATATTTGTAAATTTGATTAAAAGTAAAAAATGTTATTTACGAATTTATCAAATGATTAGAAACACTTTACTGATAACTAAGGAGCAGACCATTAAGGCTCAGGCATGACTAAAAAGTGTCCCCGAGTAGTTCTTTAGTTGCACGTGATTAACAAGCTCTTTATTGGAAATTTTGTGAGACAAAGTAAGACATCTTTGTTTATGTATAGTACGTGTGTTTCTGTGTGTCTGTGTGTGTGTGTGTGTGTGTATGTGTGTGTAATGTCCGTGTTTTAAGAAAAAGAAAAACACCAAAGGCACTCTTTGCTATTGCTCCCACTTGAAAACGGAAATTCAACTTTGGTTCCGCTCAAGGCATGTAAGCAGAGCAGAGCTCGCAGAGCATATTTGAAAAAAACTGGAGCGTCCACCTTATCTCTCGCTCCGTCATTTGCTAAAGATTAAAAAATAAAACAAAAAATTTTGTCTTTTACATTTTACAATTTGACTTTTCGTCTCCATTCGCAAACACTGTCGTTAATTTGTGTATTTCGGTAGAACCTTAGTTCCGGGTAAATACGTCAGCATTGGTGGAAAATGCAGTCTAATAAGGGTATAGTCACCGTGTAAGTATGAAATGTAATAATCTTTAATACCTAATAAGGAATAATTTAGTTCTACGATCACATTTAATGTGAAGTTGTCTGAAAATGTAGTTTGAAACGTAATTGTTGTGTGGGTCTCTGGTCATAAGTACGGTTTGATTGTACATTAGATTGACCAAGTCGGCAACTGTCTGTAGTGAGCAACAGGGAGAATTCTCAGACTGCAAAGTACAGTGGTACCTCAGTTCTCGAACTCATTAGAACTTGAATTTCTTAAAAGTCGAACCAACCAATTCGAAAAAATTACCTAGAACTCGATCTGAATCTCAGAAGTCAAACCGTAAACGCCGACCTAAGAGAACTTGTACGCGCGGGGAAATGAGTCACGCGGCACCTCTCTCAGCAGAAACAAAGGGTAACGCTTCAGTCTCGGCCTCGCATTCGCTGTGATATAACATCATGCATGTTTACACTAGCTGAATACATATATTTAGACAGTAAAAATACATTTAGACAATGATAGTAACAGTAATTATTATTATATAATAAAATAACTCCCTACTTAGAATAGTATGCAAGACCGATCGACTGAAGAGTTCGCACACGACTGATCGAACGGTTATCCCAAAAAAACCTGCAAACACACCGGCCCTTTCTGGATAAGATCGCCTACCCCTGTAGTAGCATATGCAGTTAGTGTGTATTGCTTGGTAAAGGATGCTGTGTACCCTGTGGTCATCGTGCCATATATGGTACACTTCGCCACATATAGTAAAAAAAGATAGAGAAATATTAAAAAAAACATTAATAAAATAAAAAGAAAAGAATAAAACCCAATAATAAATAATAATAAATCATTATCCCTTGTATGTGTACATGTGTGTAATTGTAGCCCTATGCAGACCATTGGGTGTTGTGCAGTTTCTTCATTACACACATAACTTCAGAGCGACAACAGTCGCCTTAGAAATGAGTACAGCACTTTGATGAAGTACTTCTTATTCACTGACAGGTGTCATTGCCATAATGGAAGAGTAGAATGACACTACAGTGGTCAGACACGAATCCACGCCTTTGTACTCGGGAAATGACATCTGATGTGTGATGATTACACGCACCTGTCTATTCCAGTCAGCCACTAACATTCTGTAAGTGACAACGTCGGACCAGGAATTTGTAAGTGTTCGTAGTGTGATTGAAACACAATGAACTGAAATCAATGTAATTACAAATGGAGCGTCTTTCACAAAATGCAGTGTCATAACTAAAAGTTCTTCTGTTTACCACTCCAAGAAGCATCTCATTATTTTGCTATTTCTG